AGCGATATCATCCACACTTCAACTCAAATGCAGCATCTCACTCCGCGAAATCCACACTGCAAGGCGTATTTTGCGGTGTGGTGGTTTTCGCCCCTTGCCATTCTGTCCTCGTCAAGCCCTTCACCAGGGTCGCCGTTGGTACCGGCACCAGGGGCAGTAGCGGGCACCTGGTCCACCGGATTACGTACATCTTGGACCTGTTGTTCGTGCAGGGATTGTTGAGAACATCGATGTTGGTAGATAACACAAGAACTCGGTTGGTAGGTGTTTGACACATCCATCCATAGAGGGATTTGTGCGGCACCCGAAAAATTGCAACACAACCGAAAATGTCACGTAATTCCGTCCAGACATCGCTACAATATCTGTTCATCTCTCTTTTTCTCTTTCAGCCTCTTTGCCTCTCTGCCGGTCTGTCTCTCGTCCATTCTTTCCTTATCTGGCCGCTCTCGGTATTCTACAGTCAATCATTGTACATGCGCCCTCCCCTTCGAGCCAAAGTGCACCTACCAGCGGGCGGCAGCGTCGTCAGTAGCAGCCAAGGCGTCCAGAAACGCGACTGGTGGTGATGCGAGCGCGGGCTCCAGGTCCCCCGAAATGCCGTCGAGGTCACAGATCTGTTGTGCGTGCATAGGGTTTTCAAGAAATCAATGTTGGGACACAAAACGAGTCAACATCAATCACCGGCGAACTGTCGAAAATCAGAGGCTTAGGGTCTGCTAAGACTGTGTAGTCAAGAACACTTCCCTGGTAGTGTTGCTGGTGTTAGATTGCTTGGTGTGTTCTTTTCAGTTAACGTCAGATCAACGTCAGATCTGCTGAATTGAGGTCCTCAATAAAAACAAGATAATAGGCTGATGACGCACGTCAGAAGTCTATCTGTTCAAAGGACCTGTCCTACGGCGGTAGCAGCAGTGAGCAAGCAAGGTAACAGAATACGCGTGTGCCACACCTTGTTGACAGGTGTGCTGAGGTGCACTGTAGACGTGAGTCTACAACCAAATGACATTTGGTTCAACGAGAAATGAGAAACAGATGTTGTACAAATTTGTTGTATTGTTGAGCTGGGCAGGAAACAGAGTGAGCTCCAGTGAGGGGCGTGCGCTCTGCCTGGTCAGCGTTTTTGTCGATTACCGACGAAACTGCGAAGAACCTCAATATCGGTCCGGAACCGTTCCGAGAACGTTCTGGGAAACAAATACCGTTCTATAAGACCAAAAGCATCGTCCCGGAAACGTTCCGGGAACCTTTCTAATCTTACTCTGGACTTTTACTGAGAACGTTCCTGAGAACCTTTTAGGACAGTATGCCCGATCTAGGAAACATTCTTAGAACCGTTACGGAATCTACCGCATCCATCAGTGGATCGTTCTAGATACATTTCCCGAAATATCGTTCTTCAAGTTGAACTTACTTCCTTAATAGCTTATTATACCGCGTTTAGTGTGTGTTATCGCGCATACTGAAACTGGTATAGTTTTGTGCTACTGAAATCGCTCATGATGTATGTGAATTCGTATACTGTGTTGTACTCAAGAGAATACGAATAACAGCAGTCAGTCTTGATCAGTTGGTACTGATATTTCTAACACGAACGTTGTTCCGAATCCCCTTGGTCAGAGGGCGGGGTCGATCGCGCTTGCAAATATTTTATGAACGATCGAACAAGCAAACGCCTGTCCGATTCACCGCGGGAGGGACGTTGGTGGAAATGCACGCGTGCGTGCAGACCGATTGGAGGGAGTATGAGTACGCTGTGCGCACCGGTGTAGCGACGCAAGGGTGAAGAGCGTGATCATTCCTCTCTTCGGGTGCCTCTGCAATAAATGCATTTCCACGAGCAGGTGTTCACCTCTTCACGGCTGCTCAACTGCACTGGCGTGAACGGCGCAATTCATTTTCTCTCATAGTGACCTTGTTGTAGCCCCGATCTGGGAGATCTGTCAGAGCGTGCACATCATCATGATCTGTCCCGACAGAAGTAGAACCGGCTCTTCAGGCCAAAACGGATCGCGTTCAAGCACGGGTGCGCGTTCTCCAAGCATCAAACGCCGAGGTGGACTAGCGATAAAACGCTCTGGTATGAGGATGGCGTGATGTTTGCCTTACC